CGTTAAGAAACAGGCTCTAACCAGGACCCTACAATTATAGTTGTATAAAAAATGGTTAACGTGCACAGCGTTCTACTGCGCAAAGTTCTGAAATAAAACTGTCTCAAAAGTTTCAACATACTGGTACTCAGACGTAGGAAGAGCTTTACCCTTTCAAACACAAGATGGTTGACTCCGTTGCACTAATTAAACCTCTACGTAACACACACCACTGATGTTTTTTGGTTATTTGGAGGAAGTAATCTAATGCTCTCGCTTTTAAACGTCTCTAAACTATTACTACTCGTGTAATCCACTGCAATATTAGCTATAGTCTCGAAATGCAGAGAGGACACGAGAGCATTGACTTCTAGCAATAATCTTTGTGTCTTTTAAGTCATTCACAAGCCACCTAGAGTAAGCTAGATGTAACCAACGAAGCTAAGTTCTGACCAATTAAAACTCATATAAGCTGCCAATCGCAACCTGTTGAACAACGTATGCCATTAATAATTACGATTCTACCGAAATCGCTCTCCTTCTCTCACTGTGCTATCACAAGCCGAATCGTACATAAGCGTCGAAAAAACAGGCCACGATATAACGTCCTCTTACGAGCAAGCAGTCCTCTCGATGGCTGTTTCACAATTGCTGTTACTATCAGTTTTTTAACACAAAACAACGACGCGAAAACCTCAACTGAGGTGAACGCTAGTGTTTTCAAGAAAACGACGATGACGACAACAAAAACAGCAGTAGCAACAACAACAGAAGAAACTGAAGAGAGATCGCGCACTGAATGCTCTTATCAACGCCATTCTTGTTTTGTCCTGCTTGTAGTTGCGGTACCATATTATTTGTATAAAAATGCAACAGCATCACTTGTCCGTAGGTACCCGGAACACTTCGGAACACCCGGGCAAGGAACTGAGCAGAATGCTTGCAGCGATTATAGGTTTCCACTACCAATTCTTTTTTCGGTGCTTTTTTTCGGTACTATGTTGGATTTATTTGAGCAACTACGGCTGACGCAATATACATTTCAATAATGTACACACCAACGCACATGGTCTTACCATTCGTAACTGAGTTCCCGCAGAAATAAGCGTTGATGAGCAAGTGCGTTGTACTTCCGTATATATGTATCTATATGTATTAATAAAATCCTCTCTTCGGTTGCCTATTATGCAGGGGCGCAGCAAAACTGTTCGAATCATTCTTCTCATGCGAACTTCATCATGGATGTCGTACATATACGCAGCGTACGCCGCTTGAATACACCGTGTTATTTCAAAAATACTAAGTAACCTACTAAGCAGGCATATGCCGGCATAAATACTCTGCCCGTAATCCCATTCCGATCTAAGATGCCGTCGTGCCTGGAAATATAGAACCCTTTTTGAATACCACCTTCGAATAGCTGAGCGTGCTCAGAATTCCAACACGTTTAGAGTTAAATGTGTTTAGTTGCTTGCCAGCCGAAGTGATATGTCAGTCAACGTGCTTTGTATTGCACGTTTTTTATTCCGTGGAATACTTTCGCCGTCGCTAGCAATTCCCGCTTGACCTATCACAAGTCCGAAGAAGGGAGGACGCCGGAAGCACTCAGTTATGTATTTTTCTCATCCGCATTTGACGACACAAAAAACTGTCATCCGACTGACGTCAACTCGTGTGCTCCATTGTTTATTTACATATATTCTATTGCAGTCTTCTACTAGTAGTGTTACTATTACTGTTATTATGTACACACATATCCATTGCGATTTGTTTGCCGTCTGTTTCTTCTTGTAAGAGTTATGTCTTATTCTGTTGGGTTGTGTTGGGTCCACGTCACTTGCGAGGGAGACTGCCTTCGCTTGCCAACATTTGTCGCTGACGGACGACCAGCAGGATCCTGCAAGTGGCGTGAACGTGCCGTCTTTGATTATAGCGGTCAAACAAAACTTACCAGGCGGTGTCGTCGAGTTCATCCATGACCGACCTTTTGCCAGTACGCTTTACAACAGCACCATCACCCAAATGTTCTAGTTTTCAACAGATAGGACGTCCGGGACTAAAAGCGTCACAATGCCGCAGTTTTTGTCCGGTATTTTCTCTTTTCTTTTTGCTAGTTTTATTTACCAAAGAGCACGAACAAAACTTAACAAGTTCACGGTGGACACCCACTTCACCAATTAATCGCTGCCCGTTATAACCCCCACAATACTACTATAATGGGTGCAGTTGCATGTAAATGTCTCTATATTAGTAATTGAACGCGCTTACGTACCACACACTGGCAGTTATTATATGGCTCCTATAACTACGACTACTAATATTATCACCGGTCACTCCAATATGTCACTTTCACAATGAGCAGCTGCACGAGCACACTGAACTATCAGCAGCAGCCTTCCAGCCCGTTTCACTACCAAAGGAGCACACGGACAGAGTCTGGCAATCTTTCTTCCATGAGAATAGCGGCCGCTGCCTACTGCTCCTGCTGTCGTTAACACAGATCGAGTGTGGAAGGCAGAACCGCTGTGATGTACATAGGCAGTCAGCCAGATACAAATATACAGACACACATGAGTAAAAAGCGGTCGGTACGTTGGTCTAAAGGGAAAATTAGACAATCTAGGTTGGCAACAGCTACGACTGCGGGCATGCAGTTGGCAGAACGAATACAGCAGTTTAATCTAGCAGAACGTAGCCTCTATGGGTGAACTTTGCAGAAACGACCCATACTGAATCGAATAACAAGCTGATGATTTCTGCCTACTGTTTGTATCTGTCGCCGGCCAATGCAAAAACTACAGAACAAAGATAACGGAACAGCTGTTCACGTCACTATTGCTTGGTAGTATCCATCGCGTTTTAGATAACAAGGGATGGCGCGCGAATTTCGAATCGCAAAAAAGTTACGCGAAATAGCGGGATCGAAATGTCGGAAAACGGCTCAATAGATGAATATGCAACTTGACAAGGTGTGTTGAGTATATTGACGCATACACATTTAAAGCTTTTGCTTTAAATGCGTATGCGTCTTTTAGCTGCAACCATAGCGGAACTGCAATACAAGCAGGCGGCGCATGTTAGTAGCACCAGATACCGAAACAGTTGAATGAAGGAATTGCAACACCGTACAAGCTAAATAAAAAGAAATAATATAATATCAAATGGGGTGACAGTAAATGATGACTAATTAGCAAAAAAACTTTCAGTGAACCTTGATGAATACCAGAATTATGATATAAAGGGTAAAAAATGCCACCTGTTTAACTATTATGAAGTTTCATAGGTCTGTTGAAGAAACGTCGGAGTTGAAGTTTAGCAAAACCCGTTTTGGCTGGACCTCTAGCAAGAACAAGTGTTTAGTACTATACCAAAAAAATGATTTCAAGGACTTGTGGGCACAGAAAGAATAGCTGAGAGTAAACGACCTTTAGATTAAAAAATAACCTTGCACATCTCCCCAAAATATGGGCGACTAGTGCCAGTAGTTCGATTGACACTACCATTATGCTTAGGCTGGTTTCATACTTTAGCAATTTAAATCAGGCATTGCAAAATATATATCAACCATGCATTTGTATAAATGAAGCAAATTATTACATCAATCATATAGCATGTTTGCAAACTGGAAGTTAATCTTGGGGCTCGATAAACGTATCACTTTCCCGACTGGACTGCTGCTCCACATGTCATAACTTCGATCGAACTACTTGTAAAACATATCCTGTTTCGTTTTGAAGAGATATCACTCACAATTATGTAACCACTACTTCGATTGAAATTGTACAGATATACTTTACTGCTTTACTTTCTAAATCCAATTATACGTAAATTGTAAAATTAGGCTCAAAAATACAAACACTGTATTCATTTCGCGTGCCGGTCTAGCACTAGAATGAGTTTGCTAAAAACAGTTTGGTTTCAGCCAGTAATCTAAGAGCGACCAATTGAAGAAAACACTTCCTCTTCGTTGATAATTCATGAAACTGAGAAAACGCGATATATTTTTTCTTTGGTGCAAGTTATCTTGCAAACATTCGGCAAGTAGATGACCCTTTTACTCAGATACCAGATTTTGCCACGACTGATTTTTAATGCTGCGACCGTCAACCAATTAATAATTCCACTATGTACATACTCAGGTTGCATAACGGGGTTGTAGGAAACAATCTCCCAATAGACAACTGTCTAACTGCTGTGTTCCAACGCATTTTGAGACATCAGCCGGCCAAGGATCTTTCGATTTGCACGTTTTGAAGACGATCGGATCATACGTCACTACCACTAGTCTTGTAGTTGTGTCGTATAAGTGTCACTGTAAATGCGGCCAACGTTTCGAAAATCCTCAGTCAAGAAAAATCGCATATACCGTGCCTATCAAATTTAGACAATGAGAATAATTGATTATTCGTAACTATCTCTTAGAAAACAGCGTATCTCAATTGTACCCCTTTAAAGTTGCCGCCGATATTAATAGAGCTATCTCCGTATGAAAGATATGCATGTAAGTGATGTATTATATACATTATATTTTGATTAATCTGTGAAAATTTACATAACGCACGCTTAAGATCTCAACAGTATTGTTTCGCTCTGAATGTTCCCGTCTAATGAAGGTAAAAACTACCGATATTGTCACTTCACAAGTCAATCACGTGCTTTAATGAATCTTTCTCTAGTAGGTGTTGGTTGTTCCGCTACGATGCAGACACGCCCTTATTATGTTCTCATCATCTCGTAAATCGGTACCAAGTGACCTACTTCACTGTGTCATTTTCGCTACAGGTTGATTGAGTGGTTAAAGTGCTAACATATACCTACTACTTTACCGATTTTTTCTGTGTGTAAACGTGTCTCGATCGAAGAAGAAGAAACGTACTTATAGGTAAATGGTTTACAAATTGTTAAATTCAACAAAAAATTAAATACAAAAGTTGTTTAGCTTTACGACATATGTACATATGTCGTAAAGATATATATCTTTATGGGACATATGTATATATATATACAATATACAATAACATATTACAAAAGACCATACGTATTTGGCAATACGGGAAGCCGACGCAAAAGCACCATTAAGTCCAAAATAGGGTATTTGACAAAGCAGGGTGTAATTTAGCTTTTATTGGAGTCCCAAGTTTTAAACAGCTTAGCACGGTAGTGCTGAATTGTGTGTAGCGTTAAAAATATAAGGTTTTAATAAGGGCCCATATACTTTTATCATTAAATAAACAGTGGCTTATTTATTCCAAAATACACATTTCAATATAAACTAAAGTACTGTACACATATATCCAGTATTTGGATACGCAAGATTTTCATATAAACCAACGTCGTTCATCGTCAACAGAACGTAGCCCCTATCAAGATAGGGACCAAAATTAACACCTTTTACCTCGTCTAAGCGACGTGACTTTATTCAACCTAAGTAAATTCAGCCTTACCTATGATACGAAGCCCAATTTATATGCTGGCCCGTAACCGAGCTTCCATTGTTTGTGCACAATTTATAAAGAATGAATAGATAGTCAGATTAACGAGCATTTGTCAAGCTTTGACATCCTCCTCCCGAATCTCTATCTTCGGTTTTTTTTCAGGCACTTCGGTTGAAACCTCTTTATCGGCCATCTTTTCTTTATCGCAATTCGTAACCCCAGAGCTGTTGTTACTTCCCTCTTGCGAATTGTTGTTCGTCTCCGTGATTGCCACAACCGTTTTCTGTAAAATGTCAATATCATATCACTCAAGTTACAATAGATAGCACACTTAATTGGTGATCCCGTTTAGGAAGATGTTCTAGTCGGTAGGTCTATTTGTGTGTTTTGCGGGAACATCGGGATATTGTAGAACGTGTTAAATGATTAAAATCCTTTTACTGAACGAAGGGGGCATTTTCCTTGTATTTTAGGTCTTGCGGCCTAGATAACACCAATAGACTCAAAAATCGTTAATAATACGAGCCAGATGCTATTAACATGAACACTAATTTCACTGATAAACTTGCAGCAAATTGTCCACACTGGAAGAAACGATTTCATAATCTTAAGTCTCTTATATATATATATATATATATATATATTCCTAAAACAAACCGTTGTGCAATAAACTGCAGAGTAAGTTGCAAGGAAATGGCTGAGAATGGTTTATCAATCAACTTCTGTCAAAAATGACCTTACGAAAGACAAATGGATTAAAAGAAAATATACGCGTAAAGATTTGTAAAAAACAGACATCTATAATGGGAAGAGATAAAACATACGAAGAAAAGTAGTACAATGCATAATTCAACTCACTTTATCACGTTCAAGGACACTGTCGCATTCAGAGCTGTCATCGAGACCACATAAGCGTAGATAATGTGGTCTTTCCTGTTTAGCGATGTAGCACCGGAGCGTAGCCTTCCCTAACCGGCCGGAGAAGCTCACATCAAATTCTTCTTCCTCTCCCCGGCACGATATATACGAAAGGATTACACAGCCTTTTTCCATGTCTTTGAAGGCCTCTCGTAGTTTAGATGAGTACTGTTCCTCAAGCGGAAATTCGTGCTGCAGCATCACCGCTGTATCCTCAATTGATAGCCGCAGCCTACGTGCCTCACCAATGTATGGCAACATAGTACTTAACCCCTCCTATTGAACAACAATGAGAACTGAATATAGTTGAGTTACAGAAACGAAGACGTACTTTTTTTGAATCACCATAGAATTAGTGAACGTTATTTCTGAAGACCGTACACACGCCACACACTGCTGTTTCAAGTGAGGTAATACGTATTTTCATCAATACAGCACAATTGCACGTGATAGCCTTGATTCACATTCTATGAAACATTAAACGAACCTGCGCAATTCTGAAGTCACAACCAAGCTCCTCTCGTCCTTCAGCTCTGGAGAAGACTCGTACACCTGTGTTGATAACTTTCAGTCGACTCTCATTGTGTTGAAGGACTTCCTTGACTAGCGGCGACACTAAATAGATATTGCGTCGCTGACCCTCTGTAGATCTGTTACATCGAAACAAAATTTTTCAAATTCGATAAAGATACTAACTATCCAGCAATGCTGAAGATTAATTATTACTGCAATACATCACATATGAATTACCTTGCATACGTAAATGGGCATTTCTAGACATTACGGTCAGACATAAATCCTTCGGAAAAATTTCCAATGGTTTTATGAGATAAGCCGAGTAACCCTAAATGTTGAAAAACTCATATGGCCAGTTCCATATCGCTGTCTGTATTAGTCTGGTATTGAGAGATCTTCCCCTAATTCAAAAGCTGTTCAAAAGATGTAAATTGCTGACCATGTTGACTCGATTAGGTCTAGTTGCTTTAACTACTGGTGGAGAATTGGTGGAAATTCGCGCCTAATCGTTTGTTCGAGTTTTATTTGGTTGACTTTTTTTTTTATAATAAAATTAATAAAACATGCAAATAAAGTAACAGCTTGAAATAATTCTTACCGGCACAGAAGTTGGTCAGCTGGAAAATCTTCAGTGAGTTGGTAGAATTTTCGGGTGTTGCAGATGGCTTCATCGAGAGGATCAATGAAAATGTACGGATCTTCTTTGTAGCCTCGAGGCTTCTTCAGTTTGCGATTTACCCTTTCAGGATGCGGCTTATTGGGCATGTCACCAGATTCATCCGCGTCGCCATCTATAAGACACATTATTTAAATTTAATATTATTATTCGTATTGCCTTAACAAACCGTGTAATTGTCTTTTATGACAAAGCAATGTGCCCTCATGTGCAAGTGCACGAACGTCACATAACAGAAAATCGGAGAAAATTTTGATCGCACCTGTCGGTTGACCACCAGTCTCAGACACCTTTTCCACTTCTTTGCCGTGTTCCTTTTTACTTTCCCATGGCAAAGGCTTCACTTTATGGAAAACAGTCACAAAAAAGCCACCGGTATCTTGCTGGTGAGGGAGAATACGGAGACACCTGTCGAATTTCATATAGCATTAAGGCCTAATCATTTTATCACAATACATTATTAAAAGCAACCTCTACAAAAGGACATTAAATGATCATATTGCTTTTTTTATCTTTACAAAATGCGTTTACTCTGTACCTGTCGAGGTTATAGTTCTTGACATCTTCTGGAGCAGGCGGGAACATCCTTGCTGTTATCTGAGTTTTCATATTTTCGGGAACTTTCTCGTAACTGTCGAAAAGCTGAACATCTTTTGATGCGACCTGGAAGGCAGCGAAAACATGTAAAAATAATTTACTCTTTAAGCAAGCTATGCGAAAACGGCTCAGTCAAAAAAAATTATTTTTTTGACTGAGCCGTGTAGGCGCTGGCTGAATGAAATCACATTTGATTTTTGCATTATTTCTTTTTATCCTCCTTATTTTTTACGCTTGTTTTATATGTCGAGATGCCTGGCCTATAATTAGATATAGAAGTACCTTTCCAGTGTTCAAACTTATGTACTGCACAATTAGAGAACATCGAAGTCCCACTAAACTGCTGGGGCCGTCAGATTGCATTCGTTTACGTACTTTCCATGTTTCGAGGCCAGGAGAAGCTACAAGTCCTGGTAGACGATGCCGAACATCTTCGATCTTAATGGCTCCTTCGCATTCTTTTAACAAATGTGCTACTACAGCTTCATTTTCCACTGGGTTTAGAGAGCACGTTGAATATACCATAAGACCCCCAACAGTTAGAAGTTCAAGACCCCGGCGGGCTATCCGCACCTAATGGTACAAAACAAAAGTCATATCAAATAATACCGTTATATTAGTAGGTTCTTTATATATGATATATAGAACCTACTAAAATACCGGTACGCATAGCACTGCAAATGGCTTTTGTCTTAAAATCTTAAAAAGAAATTTTGGTGAGTTTGCAATTACTGTGGATAACGTTTCGATAAAATATAAGTATCCTGGAGTATTTGATTGAAATATAGACCTGCAGTCCATTAATGCTGTTTCCATTGGCCGTATTCCATTTCTTCCACAAGTCAGCATTCTTCCGTAGAGTACCATCCCCAGTGCATGGTACGTCGCAAAGTACACGGTCGTATTTCAGCATCTGGCCATTAGCCATGTGTAGGTTAGGCAGCTGAGAGGCGTCGTGGTTCACTACCAGAAGGCACGAAGAGCGAAGTCGCTTTGCCTGATGCATGAGCATGTAGCACCGCTTATTATCAACGTCATTTGCAACAATAAGGCCATTTGGAACTTTCGTCTCACCCTGGTGCAACATTTCTATTATCTGTGATGTCTTACTGCCGGGCGCAGCGCACAAGTCGAGCACCATCTGGCCGGGCACGATGTCCAGCACGACCGGTGGTATCATGGACACAGTCTCCTGTCGGGAGATATTTCCATTATCGCATTCGCTGATTAGAAAACGATGCAGACGTTTGTATTCGTCGAATTTGCGTATCTTAACTCGCGACATGTCAAGCTGCCAAGCCAAACCCCCAGGGTACCAAGATATCTGCTGAGGTGTTGTGGCCTCCGCGCCTCTTAAGAGTTCTGTGAAATATTTCCCTAAAAAAAATAGTGCCTTCTACATTAGTTTTTGATTCAAACCTGTCACTTACATTATAATACAATGTAAATATTCATTATGGCTTATTCTTGAATTAAGTGTCGTTCGCTTAATCAGGAACTCGTTTTATATACGAAGCTGTAATGGCCATAAACAACAAGTACTATATAGTATTCATTTCAAATATTTGCGTCCAGAATCTTTTTTCACCTGTGTATGAAGTATACGTGGACAGAACACAATGTGTCCATCATAACTGTATTTGTAATTTCAATTATTTAAACCGCTTAGTCCAATAAGAGATCAGATAGTTACTAACCTTTGACGATCTTGAGCAAAAATTTTGTCTCTGGGAGTCCCGCAGTAATGCGAAAAGAAGACGGTAGATCCGATTTGAGGCACTCTACCATTCTACCCCATTCCTCATCAGAAGCGACCAGCTTTTGAGCCTGTGAATTTAAAATAAAATAATTATCTTGATTATTTATACACGGCAGGCTTTCTTTTCGTTTTCATAGGTTAGCAATTTATTTTTAAAAATATACCCATGAACCCACAAACATATGGGATGCCCACTTGTATAACAACATTGATTAACAGTGTTTTTATAGAAAAGACTTCAACTGGACATGTTTCACTATGCTACATCTATAATAAGTAGTTTTTACAAACTTCAGACAATCTACCTTGTAGTATTTCTCAAAGCTTCCGTTCTCCCGAATCAGATCCTCGTACGGCGTATGGCGTTTGTTGTCACAGTTATCGCGTCCATCCTTGTGCTGTGGCTTTCTCTTACGCTTATGAACCATTGTGATCGGATCACACTTGGAACTCACCAACTGCTACAAATGTACAAACAACAGTATTTCTAATAAGTGCAAACGATACCTATGTAAAAATTTCAACAAGATTTCACTCCAGACAGCGCGCCAGAACCAGCAAGTCGAGCACCACGTGAGCCCAAAATAATGGAACGACTTTTGCTATGTCTGTAGACGGTTTCCGAAGGATTGGGTTTTGCGGACCGGCAATTGCTCTTTATACAGCATGCGATTTCCAGTTATATGCGCAACTTAATTTGCCCTGCTTAGAAGACATATCCAGCTTTAAGGTACAAGCGCTCCGTTATGTTAACAGTACAAACGCGACGGAGAATTAATGTAGAAAATACACTGCTTTCAAGCTCCTTCTATACCTATTCTACAAATTGTTCTCCGCTTACATGGGTAAATTTTCGCGTAACCTACTGGAAGGAGTTGTACTGAAGACATGCGTACATTCTTTACCTAGTGCTTCAAAAACGCTTTAAGGCATCATTGTTGAGATGTTAACTGTGCTCAAACGTGGGTTGACCAGTTGTCTGAACACACCTATACATCGCCTAAACAGCCCGCAAACCGATGTGACCCTCCTTGTAAGTCAGCTGAGGTTAAGACCTGATAAGAACAGTTATGTAAAACACAGCGAGGATGCAATAATCATTTACGAGATTTATGGATGAGTCTGATACCGAAAGCGATAGTTTTTTAAATAGTCGCAAAGCTAGATTTAATCAGATGTCAGCTTATATACTTGCATGCCATAGCTTTATGAAATCAAATTATAGTACAAAGTATATCACAAAGCCTCTGATTTGTGTATCGATACCCCAAGACGAAGCGCTAACAGAACGGCGCAGATGCCGCGTGGAAAGAACTACCAGTATATAATATTGGATCTTCCCTAGAAGTGTATTGTGTCGTCAACAAAAAGTAACAGTGAAGCTTTACAATAACTTTGCATAAACAAGTATTCTACAGTAGCAAAACCTAATATGTGTTGAATGTGAATAGTAAAACTCTTTATAGATTTTGCTTTAATAGCAACTGGAAAATATTCAGAGCTATTTTGAAAGAAACGTGCGTTCAAACTATTCAGCGACAACAATCAACAAAACACAACTTTGTGGTACACAAAAAGTTAATTTTTTTTTGTCACTTGCTTAACGTGAACTATATAATTTGATTTATTTTGTGCAAACTTTTTTTTACGCCATATGAAATTTCAGTGCTGGGTTCAGTCTGTGCGGAAACACAAAAATATTTTCTTCGTTGATCTTTCTGATGGACTCTCATCACATCGTCTTCAAGCCGTAATTCCGGCAGATAAACTGGATCCACAAGGGATTCCACTAAGCGTCGGCTGCTCATTACGAATCAATGGTGATTTGGTTCCAAGTCCTGGCAAGAACCAGAAGCTCGAGCTGGTGACCAAACAGTTCAGTGTTCTGGGAAAATGCGATTTATCGGAGTAAGTAGATTTGTTTTATTATCGTATGCGCTAAACTGTTTAGTGGAGGAATAAGCCACTCTAACATTCTACATATGCTGTTACGCGATGTTTTTGTTTGCTGAGTGTTATATATTATTCAGTGTAAATAAATAGTTTAGGCAAATGAGTTCATTCCGAAATTATATATCGTGTTTAGATCAGCGGTGAGATTTACTTTTGGTAAGCAAGGTGCAGTTTTATGACAAACCTCACCTAAGAGCGATTTGTGGCTCCGAATGCTGATAAGCTGTCACCCATTTGCTTGAACTATCGCAGCTATCCATTTCGACCTCGAAATAAGTATAATGTTGACTTCGAGCGAGGTCTACAGCATCTACGACCTCGACTAGAAAAGTATGCCGCAGTTCATCGAGTACGGAACAAACTTATACACGCAATGCACTCATATTTCCAAGTAAGTTACTTACCAAGTTTACCGTTCTTTCATAACAGTTCAAATTTCGTGTTGTATTTCATCTGCCTATTTGCATAGCTTAACGCAGTGTGTATCTATACCAACATAATTTGAAAAAAAATTCGGAAAATGACAAAAGCCGTAACATATAATGTGTATTGTAATAGGTTTTTAAGCGACAGTGGTAACTTAAAAACGCTTTAATATCTTAATTTCTTATCAAAAGAAAATCAGAGAACCGAGAACTTATATCATAAAATTGATTCGCATTTTTCGAATTTTTTGAATGGACGCATCGTAAAGGATCTGGAGTTCTGCCAGGTACAAACCCCCATTCTTACAACAAATGATTGTGAAGGAGCGGGAGAAACATTTCTCGTACACCACGTCGATGATCTAAAACAGGTGCCGGCGTCACAGGTTACCCCACAGTCTATACCAGACAACACCGAAAATGAAAACCGTGGACTTCGTATGCAGCCCACATATTTCCCATCTCAGTGTCATTTAACCGTTTCATCACAGTTGCATCTCGAGGCGCTCATGCACTCAATATCACGCGTCTATACTATACAGACAGCATTCCGAGCTGAAAACGCATCTTCAAGGAAACACCTCTGTGAGTTTGCGATGCTCGAAGCGGAGCTGGTCATAGAGAGCGTCGACGGCCTTATAGATTTAATAGAAGGTTTAATAAATCGAGCGTGGCAAGAGGTTTGTCAAATGGGGGAGTTCAAGACAGTCGGCGAGGAATGGAGAGACACTGTTGACGCTGTTCTAAAGAACAGATTTATTAGGATGACCTACGACGACGCCCTTGAGGAACTCAAAGGTAATTAGATAAGACTTGTCATGCCGGCTGACCAGTTTGAGAAACGCGTTTCAATTAAATACAGATATCTTGAGGGCTGTATTATTATAAAGGCCCTAATTAAAGTCGCTTCTTTAAAGCTATCTGTATAATTGATATAATTAATTAATTTAATGCCTTTAAGCACCGCTTCAGGCTTACAAAAAGTACAGTACAAAAAAAGTGCTTCAGCAGGAACGTCAGTTAGAAACGCGTGTTACGTCTTTTTACTACAGACGTTCCTGCTAAAACACTTCCGAGTGAATGCCTTAATACAGAAAGCGAATTTAAGCAATATTTTTCATTCAAACAGGTTACACAATATGCAAAACACTATACATTGTAAATAATAATAATTACGAAGTAAATAATAATTTTAATAAAAGTATAAATAATTGTGTCAAGGCTATATTTATATAAAATAGGTATGAGATTGCAAACAATTTTCATATGGCAGTACTTCTTATATTGAGTGTTTTAGATAAGAAATTCCAGCATCCGTTGAAATGGGGCGACGACTTCAAAGTGGAACACGAGAATGCGCTACTCGATATTTATGCAGAAAGGCCAATTGTGGTAACACATTTCCCCAGCATCATAAAGCCGTTTTATATGCTCGAACGAGATGGAACGTATGGTCCGGTCGCAGAGTGTTTTGATCTGCTGCTTCCTATAGGCGGCGAAGCTGTTGGCGGATCGATGAGGGAAACTGATCGTACGAAGCTGCTCGAAGTTATCGAAAAAGCCGGCCTTAAAGGTCTTGAATGGTACGAGAGTAATTTTGATTTTTAGTAATGCCAAAAAAGCATTAGTTGGTGCGAGACTTTTACCAATAACCAATTAAGTCACAATTGTTGATTTAAAAAAAATTGATGGTGCCTGCAATTAATGGACATCTTTAAATCATATTTTGTTTTTAAAACCTATTTAAATCTATCCTCAGCCTGAGCTATTACTAATAGTTAAAGTTTCAGTATCCATGTAACTGCGAAAAAGCATATGACTGTTAATTAGCATTCACAGCATCATTCATGCCTCATCATCGATTTGTGTGGCATGGTTGTTTATGTTAAAGTTTACGTCGTTTAAACTAAATACATGAGCTTAATTTTAGGTACGTGCAACTTCGCGAATTTGGCACCATTCCACACGGTGGGTTTGGTCTCGGCGTTGACAGACTTCTACAGTACTTCACTAACACTCACAACATTAAAGACGCTGTTCCGTTTCCGCGGTGGCAAAGACACTGTCAGGCTTAGCAGATTATGCCTGGTTGTAGGAATATACTACGGATTTTTTCATATGTATTGTAAACCTAATAAACAATTTTATTACCTGCTTTCCCTTGATTACTTGCGACTCGTTTTTTTTAAATTTACTACCGATTCGGCAATACATCATATCATTTTTGAAACCCTGTGGGGATTGTAGACGTGGAAGATTTTACACGGACTATTTTTTTAAAGAATATTTTTTCCTTATTGGTTGGCGAGATTACTATCAACTCAAAAATCAGGAATTCAGTTATTAGATTGTTAGAAGCGAGTCCAGCATTTTTTAAAATTTAAAAACTTCTGATGTATACGTCGCTAGCATATGAAATTTGGCTGAGAAATGCTCCAATTTCCAGAAAATATCTGGAAAACTTAACTGACTGGAAACTTTTATAGACTTTATAATCAAGTTTCCAGTAAGTTAAGTTTTCCAGATATTTTTAAGTTACTCCAGTGGATTATGGGTTCAAAGGGAAAAACATCTTTATATTAAAAACAATTATAACTCAATAGTGAAGTTTTCGATCATCGAAGATTAGTGAGCGCGTTGTGCAAACAGGTTTTAAGCAAAAGCACAAAACATGAAATGGTACAAACTTTTCAAGCACTAAGAGAGTGATTACCTAATATCGAGCCCCGAAGTATCAAAATGCATTGTTGCAATCCAGAAGACTTAACCGAAGCAGAGTCTTAAAACTGTGTGGGCCAAAACTGGCATTTCACGTATGCAAAATGTAACTGAAAACGCGGAAACTCGGGTAAAAACGGGTCTCTCCTGAGTTGAGTTCATCAGTAGGAAGCTATCAGGGTGCTGGGACAGTATTGTGTAATAGACTTACCTCTAACGCATATTAGGTCTTTAAAAAGTAAATTGCTGTGATTCATCAAACATCCTTGTTTGTAACATTGTAAACCTAGAAAATACAGTACATATATATATATATATATATATATAATTTAACAACTACATACTCTATACATTGTTTGAATTTCACTATTTGTTTTCCTTTGTTTTGAAGTTGCGTATTACTGAATAATTCTGAAAGGATCACGTGAACCCGATGTGAGATTTCTTCAGGGCGCGAAAAAACCTCGGAAACGCCCTTGGAAAAACTCTCTTGGGGACTGATATGGGGACTGATAAGAACCTACGCATTTCTTTTACATTTGATCCCGAAATAGGATTACGACGAGAAGTCTGTCGATAAATTGTTTTATTTGTATAAATTACAAATTAACTTTGGGTCGGCTGTATGTACAGTTACAAAATTCACGAAAAATAAGTGCTGCAAATAAAGGATTACTTATTATGATTATTATTATTCATGAGCGCTTCGATGAATGTGCATTTGTGGTATTTTGCATTCCAATATCTGAATCGTTATATATATATATAACAATATATATAATATGAAAATATATAGCAATCACTTTTGTGAATAGAGAACGTCGAACGTCAAAATCTACAAATGTTTTCTACACGATTATTTTTAAAAGAAACATCGCTACTAGAATTATTAGACCATGTTAATGTATCATGTTCTTTGGATACACTTACTAGCCTGGTTGCTTATAGCATTAAACAAACGAATCAAGCGTGATGGTGTTTGGAACAAATCGCCCCTGAATCAGCGAGAGAGCGTTTGTGTTCATTGCAAAAAAATAATACTGCATTGCAGAGGATCGAATTTTATTTTTTGACAAAAAACTACATTCATTGCTGTAACCTTACTCTGTAATACCCCAAAAACTGAACAGGCTGTTTAGAGCTATTTATAGCGCACACAAGATAGACTCGGTGTCACCTGCTTTGATTGCCACTAAATGCCTTGAGACGAGTTGTCGGGCCTTACGTCGGGTACGGCCATTAGGCATTAAGTCGATTGCCGTTAAATGTGACAAAAAGCAAATCACACATGTTTCCATTTCATTATCCGATATCCTCCACGATCCTCTGCCACCAAACTTTCTTTTCCGATAACACAATCGCAGATAGCTAAAGGCCGTCCATGTGAAACTAATTTGATGTACTAATAACGCCTAGTTTGAATAATTTGATTCACCTGAATCAACCGAGCAGCGTTTTCTTAGGTGAGACATTACCGGTCCGAACCTGCAGCATAGAAAAACTGTACGAGTTAAAACGTCATGCCTTTTATAACATGAGCATACGTCAAATTATCCCCTCAAATTATTATCGAAATATCAAATTCTTCGTTGCCCCAACACACTTGTAACAAACTTAACAGACCAAGTCCCGCTGCAAAAAAGCAGATCCCGGCGTTGAAAGATGTACTTTTATATACGAAGTTTTTGGCACCCCCGATCGATAATACAACCTCGGAGGTAATTTGACATAACTTCGTCTATTTTGAATTGTGTGATATCGTTTAAAACATACTTGTTGAACATTAATCAACTGTTTGATCAATGAAATCGTCAGCGAATTTTCATCCGGATTATTAATAACGAAAGTTATGAAGCAGAGATACGAACCTGCCAATTTAATACCAATATAGGTTCTAGCGCCCCCTAACTTCGATCAACCTCCTGCACCACCCCCATGTGACTTGTACTTGCGGATAATTTAAATACGGTCACCTGCAACATACATTACTATCAATTTTCCCACTTGTGGGACTGGAAAACCATAGTTTATACTGTAGCGGAAGTCAGGTATCTGATCTATGCATCGTCAGCAGATAGTCGGCCGGTAATTCCAGCTTTAAAATTTATTTTTCATTGTTTGAAATGAACAAAGCGTCAAGCAGTTAACTACAAAAACGATACTGTGAAAGAGCTACTCACGACTGTAAAGAGCCTCGAAATCCTACAGGGGGAACTTTAACCTCTCGGCATACGGCAGCCTGTAATCAACACCACTTATCCCGTTATTAACCGCTCAAACAGATGAAAAATATTAATTTTGTTTTCTGGGTCAGGTGTCTGATCTTTAAATCGTCAGCAGATTGTCGGCCGGTAATTCCAGCTTTAAAGATTTATTTTTCATCCTTTGAAATGGACAGATCGTCAAGCATTGAACTACACAATGACTACTTTGAAAGGGTTACTCACGAATGTTAAAGCGCGTCGAAATTCTACAAGGGAAACCTTAACCTCTTTGCATACGGTGGCCTGTAATCAACACATTTATTCAGTTATTAACCGCTCAAGCAGATTACAATGTTACTTTTCTTTTCTGGGTCAGGTGTCTGATCTTTAAATCGTCAGCAGACTGTCGGCCGGTAATTCCAGCTTTAAAGATTTATTTTTCATCCTTTGAAATGAAAGGACCGGCAAGAATTGAACTGAAGATCGAGCTTCACAAGAATGACTTACGAATGCAAAAAAACCTCGGGTACCTTTGTATTGACAAACTATGTACCAAAATGATTATCTTACCTTCTACAAACAATTGAGATTTAAATCATCAAATAACGATAGACCAACTTCAGTTACGTCACGCCAAGAAAGAATACTACCTGTAACATTGGAAAGGTAACACGTTAACGTTACACAATTTTTGATTAGGTCTAGGGCAACAAAAGGATAAACCTTGTCAGTGTAACTATGACCAGTGGCATCCTGTGATTTACCTAGAGAAGCAATAACTGCATCCCTCTATGGCGTCAGATTACTCGTAGGTGTCATCATCTCAGTGTTATATCAAAAACTGGCGCATAATTTGGAATATCCACGCCTGCAGGCGACCGGCTCGAAATAGATTTCTTTTTATTTAACGTAACTTTACAGTACAATTAACATGTGTACGTGTGAAAACACTTACCCTGAAATTGTGGGTTTCATTAACAGATCCAATGTCATTGTTGGTCAAATTTACACGTCGCATTTTGATTGTTTCCACACACCTAAAGAAATCAAGAGAACACATTTAATGGTACAATTAAATGCAGTGCTTGCACGTTAGAAACCAATTATCAGACTGAAGTTATTCCGTATTCACCCACCGTCGACGACGTCGAGCAATCAAATCCGTCATCACACTTTTTTTAAAAGAACTCTAGAAGACCTCTCGAAAAAGTTACGAACTTACCTGTCTTTAGTTTTAGACAATTTACGCACGCTTCTTACCTGGAAGAAATTTAAAATGATAAGTTACAAGAAAAACTTTGTCTGCATTAAAATTAGTCTGTCCTCAATTAAATCAGGCTCATTAAATCAGTTTGCTCTCACAGTGGGGTCAACAAAAAATTACTCATCATTTCAAGGAGTGAAAAAAAGCTTATCCTCAGGGATAATTGTCGAGCTAATGCTTTCTACTAAACAAGAAATCAAATCATTTGCACTGAACTTACTTGTAGGAGACGCCAAGGAACGAGCAATATCCTGTAAAACAACAAAATCCTGTGCAAGTAAGATTCCGAGAGATCAACTTTGATAAAACCAAGAAGCAGTATGCTCAGACAGCCAAGTTTTGAATCATAAAAGTTCATTAAACTTAATTGCGAAACCTTTTTGGAAAATCATCATACCTGACAAAATTTATGGCGAAATGGAAAAGTAAGCGTGTTTAGCAAAACATTGTAATATGAAGCATCATTAACACGTGTTTGCGTAGATATGTATATATACACGCTTATCTTATAAAAACGTTTCAGTAGACCAGTTTGCTTGATAATGAAAAATATAATCTAGCAATGATGACACAAACCAATCACAAAGCTGAACGAATTCATAATCAGCAGCTAAATAATATCACCACCGCCAATTTCGGTCCTTTACTTGAGAAAACTAGATCTTATGTATGTACATTTTGCGCACGTGCTACCACCACAACAACTAGGCGTTAAAAGGGCTCTGTGCTCACTTCGTTGATGGATAAATACTTGCGCTTGAAGCTCCCCCAAACGGTTAGAAAATAAGGCTCTGCGCGCGGGACATTCAAAAGCCAGTAGACAAACCTCAATAACCTTTTAAAGGTATTTTAATATTTTATTTCGCCAGCAGTTAAATTCATATTAATTCATAAAATTAAATAAAATAAGAGTAAAAATTTAAATAAAAATAAGGGGGGGGGGCTATGTAATGGAATTTCAAAAAAAAAGAGCATAAACTTATGAAAAATATTAATTTGTATCTTTACATAAATAGTGATCAAAAGAGAAAAAGGTTGCCATAAAAGTGCTCTTTAATTCAAGACGAGAGCAACGAACTACTGACGCTGATTAATTATGTGACTGTGATTCTAGGTGTCACACAAAAAAGCAGAATGGCATATTTAATTATATGCAGTTTCCCCCTATTATTGTACTATGAAGTTTAGTGTGAAGTTGAATGCAACTCTTGTATTTGAGTAGAACTCGACCGTACTGCACCAAATGTAAAATTTATAAGTGAAATCCAATATAAGGTTTGACAAAACTGTGTGAAATAAGTATATCATATAATATATATGCGGAATATTTTCGTATTTCCTGTTCGCAACAGCCGCATCGAAACCAAAACCACTAACTCATCAGTTTGCCTTATCCTCTTCCTTTTCCTGTAAGACCACGACACTGGTACGGTTTTATTTGTGACTAGTGTCACAGAATTTCACCAAAACTGTAGAGATTTAAACGAAGTTTTCGTGTACAGTAAAAGTGGTTCTTGAAACTCTAACTAGAGTATTTTTAATGTCTGTATTCCACAGCGTAGCACATTTCTCGACTGTTCGATCCTATGTACCACGTTACCCATGCTCGGTAGAGGTTGAATCGCCTGCGCCGGCTTTCTATCTGGAGAATAGTATCTCATTATTGACGTTCATATTTCTGGATTATCAAATGTGAAGTACAAAAAGACGTGTTGATTCAACGAGGTACTATCTAATTTAGTGGCCAAAGATTGTGGCAAACAAGCTTTTGGTACCCTGCAGTTTGTTTTGTGCTGCTTCCTGCGCTTGGTGTTTATATATACAGCTGTTATGTGTATATTGTCGATTACAGAGCCGTAAGGTTTCAAGATGGTGAACACCAAGGGATACCGCCGCGGAACGCGGTATATGTTCGCTAAAGACTTCAGGAAACGCGGAGTTGAACACCTCTCCACTTACCTGCGAGTGTACAAACGCGGCGATTTTGTTGATATTAAGGTATGATTAAATATATAAGGGAGTACAGTGAGAAATTCGCAGAAGACACTAGTTAAGTGTATTTCACAAATCATTTCGTTTCACTGTAGAGAACGACTAAAACGTCCTTGTAGATGTTAAGTAACAGACAGATTTTCATCCCACCATCATGTTAAATTTTCACCCCATATGTGATCACTTGAATGTTACAACATTATGTAATTAGCAGACATTTTTAAAGCATTACCCTTCAGCCCCTGTTACTACTCATATATCTAACTTCTCAATGAAGTAATGGTTTGCTATCTGTTAGCAAACCGTTTTTTCAAAGACACGTTGACATGCTTCAGATTAATTCCTATTATATATATTCAACTCACCTATATTGTTTAAAGTTTCTACAGTTTTGGCATTTGACGGGAGGAAAATAAATTCGCTTAAAACCCAAATAGGTATACTATGGGCATCGAGATACAAGACACTCAGTGTAGCATAGAATCAACAGAGTAACACATTATAGTCGATATCAGCATAGCAATCAATACGGTTGTGAAGTAGTAGCAGAAGTCAACTATTTGTAATCTGTAGGGCAATGGAGCCTTCCAAGGTGGAATGCCGCACAAGTCTTACCACGGCCGAACTGGTCGCGTATTCAACGTTTCCCATCGGGCGCTTGGCGTTATCGTCAATAAGAGAGTTCGGGCACGTATCATACCCAAGAGAATTTACGTGCGAATTGAACACGTTAAACCGTCGAACTGTCGTGAGTTTGCAAACAATTTAAACTTAATTGTTTTAATGTTTTCAAGCGTTCGATGAATGATAAGTCACTTTATTTGGCTTATTAGAAACAGAAATCATTCTGCGTTATACTTTAATTACGATCGTTCGCTTCTTCAATAATGTGTGAAAGAAGAGTGTTCTTTTGTAGATTTACACCCGCACAGAGCTGGCTCTGCAGTTTACTGAAATGGAAGAAATGCAAAAACTTTTCTTATAGTTCCTATACCTCTAACGTATTCGTTCTCGTTCGCTGTTTTTTTGGATACGTCAGGCAAAGATTTTCTTGAACGTGTAAAGAAGAACGACATCCTTCGGCAGGAGTCCAAAAAGGCTGGCAAGAAGGTCATTATCAAGCGAGAAGTTGGGCAGCCTCGGAAGCAGCACGTTGTGCGGGCGAAGCACGAGATTCAGCTTGTTACTCCTATCCCGTACGAGTTCATGGCTTAAATAAACCATACGACTTAATTGGAGCCATGAGAGTTCCTCGTACATAAACGTCTTTTTATTAAATGCGATTTTAGTATAGTTGTGCCCAAATTTGACCCGGGAAGAGAAGTCTCTATTGTTGGTGTCAGTGCAGCTTATCTAGATATTCGACTTGCAAGATGCGGTTCTGCCTTTTTAGAACCTTAATCTAGCCATTCAAACCCTAGCGGAATATATGAACAGTGAGTAGATGCCTCAAGTGGTATTCTACTTAGTTGATGAAAATATGAGCTGTGCGTCGCCACATGATTGGTAATCACATTTTGGCAGACCTCTAGTCCAGTCAAAAGGATGCTTTCCCAGTACGTTCAGATAGCATTTTAACCTCACTGCGATAGAGGTAAATAAGTATACTCGTGGCTTTGAGCGAAACTGTTTGAATTTTTTTTTCAAACATCGTGGAAATCGTTATTCAATTAAAGCACTTTGACAGCAGTTTCTACGACAGTCCTTCCATGTGCATTAACCTAAACTTATTTTTATTCGCGTTTATAATTCGTGTAAGTGTGACGTTAAGCTCATTGAAATATTATTCCGTTCAGAAACTAGACTTCCCGCTTGAATATATGCGCTGTCTGATTCTGTAGATTTATTGACAGAAAATCTTGAAAATGCATGAGTCCCTTAAACTGAGAATGTGAGACCTCTTTTTTTTGGTTTTGTTTATTACAACCCATAGCCTGCTTAAGCTCTCAAGCACTATTTTTGTTGTACATGGAGCTTCAACAAGTTTCTTTAGACTCGATATTATCCGTCGGCTTTAGTTTGAGCCACAGAACCAGAACTTAAAATCCAGCTGTGGATAGGAGGTTAGGTAAGAGTCCTGTGTTAATGCAAGTGGACCCTTAAATACGCGCTTCATATAGAATAACCATAACGAGTGACAGTAATGACTACGCCAGTAATCTGATGATCATTTTTATAGAAGATAATGCGTTCAAGTTGAAGAAAACTTTGGCGAGCTGTTTGCCATCACAGACATGAGTTCATTAGCTATTCTGGGCACCGAGAAAGCCAGTTCTTGCTAGAACAAAGAACTAATCACGGTGAAAATCGGTGCTTCGGTTTTGGCATCTGAGCGAAAATCAACTATTACCTAAGCTTTCTAAGTGAAGTGCACCAGAATTAAAAATTTTTTTGTTGGAAACCGACGGTTTATATTATAATCATTGTTCATGCGGGTTATGAAAGCTCAAAGCAGGACGTATATGAGATTTTCAATAGCGTGAACGCTTTTTTGTCCAAGAGTGGCGTTGGGAATAACGTGTTTACCTTTTAAACCCGGGATACGTGAGGTCTCGACTCGAATTCAGGCATAGACATTTAATTTGCTGGTGAAAGCCAGGCCTGTGGTAGAATTCCTAACAGTAATAGAGGGCATAGAACTCTGAGCAGCAAAAGGGTTTAGAATTAAAAAGCTCGAAACTTTATCAAAACGGCACTAGAAGCTTTTTTTTTTATACATCTGAATTTTTGATATAGAAGTAAATGGCTGTTTTACAGAAGAGAATATTAGTCGCCAGTCGAGTCATTTAAAGAAGCTCCAAAGGTTAAACTTCTTCACACTTTTTTATACCTTTTGGCAATAATGCGTTTTTGGGGTCTTGATCTGTTATATGCTCAAACTCAATTCCGTTGAAATTTATTGTACGCAGCGTATTTGAGTAACACTTTAGCGGGTTCACGCCTACCAATATCTAATAACCGCATAATTACTATCGAAAGGTTTTTGTTATTATGTTGTTTTTTTTTCAATGACAACTGGTTCTCAAGTCATCCTAATGCTCATCCTTGTTGAAGAGCCTACGCGAAAAGTCCATGTATTATTATTATTATTATATATTATACATCGGCTAGAAAATGTGGTTTCTGTGCAATAAGCCTGAAGTACATAGTGAGTTCTTACGTAAAAAAGACTATGCCCGTATCTTATATGAACAGAGATTTGTTTATCGGAATGCCGCACCTATTTTTGAGTTAGGTGCCCTCTTTTGGAAGACATATGACATAAAGTAGTTGGCTGGTTATCAAAATATTTATAACACAGAAATACTAAAAACGCGTTTGCACGAAAGCTCATACTATGACCCTAACGTTGTCTAGGCATGAAATGTTGCCGTAGAATCAGATATATATACAGTTTGAACAAAGTTTATTAACATTTGAAAAGTCTTCATTTCACATCTGTTATTGTAATAAAAAATATTACTGTAAATTTTTGCAATAAATGGTGGATTGAAGTGCGCAACACGTTTGCTAGACGAAGATTCTAGTGCTATTTCTATATTCCTATATGCACAGCACACATCATTCTAGCCTATTTTGGAGACGGGGTTGAACAGCACTAACAGTATAACTATTCACAGTATATATTGAAATGACAGAATATGGTTCCTTATTGTATACCTTAAACATTATCAGATGTGTATTCGCGTATCTTTGTAGTCAAACGTTCTCGTCTCTTAGGTTCGGGCTTTCAGGTTTGTAGACCAAGCACGGTCATAAACTTATCGCCTGTCGTACAACTCTTTTACTAGGTACAGTTTGTCATGGAACTCGTTATCTGTAATGTATTGAATGACGTCAAAAGACAGAATGGCTAACTGAACAAGAAATGTCTGACAACAAACAGTCTATATCTACAAGCTTGCGTCTACGGCTTCCAAGCTTAGCAGCCTCGTATACGAAAAGCATTAGGTGACACCTTGTGACTGTTGCTTCTAGGTCTACGCCTATAGTTTTCCCACGTCTTCTATTGTAGATAGGTAGCAAGAATGGGAAATCTTTTTAAGATCAAAGAAAAATTAATATGACGCTCCTTTTTAAAAACTTGTACTGTGCTACAAGATGTTTCATGCTGATCATGTAGTATGACTGCTTTATTGTGTTTTGTATACTAATTATTTTTGCATGGTTTTAACCAACGATGAGACGAAGTGGATCATCAAGTAATCCTGGAAGACGAAGGACGTTGAGCAGATTCGACAAATTGCCGAGCAGATTCGGATATGAGACTTTGGAGCCACACCTTCAAAAAGGCAAACAATGTTCGCAATACACGACAAGTTCAAAGTTACTGGATTCGTCTGCAATGCCTTGAAAAGTGGCAGATTGACAACGGTTATTTATAAAGGAAATCTGATCTTGTCAGTTACATATGTTTTGGATATCTGTGCAACGCGTATATAGCAGACTCCATCAATAAATTAAACATGTATGATATGAGGCTCAAATTTTGTTATTCTGATGTTAGCCCATGGAACCATATGGATAACTACATTTTTATTGCTGTTGTGTCTTTTACATACACTAGCACTATGGCATAATCACATCGTATTATAGAAATATAAAAATGATGTTCAGCTGCACCTATTACAAATATGCTGCAGAATAAAGTATACTTCTTATTGTACCTTTTGTTACGTCAACAGGTATGATGTGAAAACTTTCCAACTATCGAGTGACTTTTTTCAAACTGTTAAAATATTTTTTAACCCGCCTATAAACTTTGTTTTACCCTGTATAAATAAGAATCTGGCAGTAATAAATTTTCAAGCGAAGGATTTAATAATTGCACACCTCAAAAATAGGGGAGCTCTTTCTGTGCAGACGGTCCAAATCCATAACTGTACCTGCAGCTATGATAGAAACTACGATATCCAGCATTATTAGACTTCACAAAAATGCATATTAGGTTCACTAACGGTCTTCTCTGAAAGGAAATTATATGAATTTATTGTTAATTTTTTATTTTTACAAACGATGCCATAAATATGCAAATATTACAAAAGATGCCGAAAATAAATGAATGATTTATTTCAAGTAATTTGCCATCTCTTTAATAACAACTTTGCTGCTAACCTTAGGTGTATCAGGCAAGAGACTGGAGCCCATATAGTAGAATCATTTTAACTGCCCCTACCCCCCACCCCCCCCCGCCCCAATTGAACTTAACGACATCAGAATTTGCAGTGTTCCTTTTATGATATAACAACTTATTGCATGTACAAGGTTGGTCAGGATCCTCATGCATGTCGAGAAGAATGACTCAAATATTGTTGAAGGTATAGAACATTTATTTAAAAAAAACGGTTCTCGGTTGTACGCCGGCGTACTGCAGGCGGTAAGGGAGTACAAAAAATGTTCAATCCGTCTCAAGAAACTTTTTTGCTACCCGTAGCAGCGAAATACAACGTGCATTCCTGTTTGACACTTCAACACAACCACTCTGTTTTAAAACCGGGTTAATCATTTATTTCTAATATTTTCATTAGTACTTACTACATATTATGGAAATTGTCGCCGTTGATTTCGAGCATAGCCGTTACTTAAAAGGCGCTTATCTTCCATACTTGCCATACTGTCAAAAAAATAAAATTGATGCAAGAGAAGGTTTTTAATACAATCAACGCTAGATGTACCCATTTTGCGTGGGTGTGAAAAGAAACTTTAGTGGTTTATTGATGTTGATGCACAGCGATAACCACCCGGTCGTTTTAACTGGTTCGGATATATTACTATCACACTTAACGCTCGACATTGTCAATGCATGCATAATAATAATGATAATGATCAATGACGATCCGTCCATTAGCAGGCCGAGGCAACAACCATTCTACATTCCCTGTGTAATCTCAGCTTACCTTACCCTTCTCCCTTAATTTCGCTACAAAGCTTCCTTACTAATTGTAAGAGCATCTCATGTTCTACTGTAAGGAAGTAGTTCCATTTCATTCTCCGTTCCTTTCTCTCGCTTTCTCTCTTTGTGGCTTTTTCTTAACAGGGGAATATCCTTGCCTTTATAATCATTACTTTGTATATATTTATGTATATGTAATTCAATCTATTCATATTAACATTCATACGCCCTTGTATACGTCCTCAATGGCTTTATCAATATTCCAATCGAAGTTACTAAGTTGTTGTACTGCTGTCTGCTTATCAGTCCCTGGCGCAACTTCAAGAAACTTGTCGATTTTTTTCTGAAAGTCAAGGTTTACAGGGCCTGGTGCGGATGCAAACATTTGAGACCAAAAGCGCGCAGTTTCTCGGAATAATGGCTGATTCTTCTTATATTGAGTCGCTACTACGGCGTCCTACATGCACAAAAATAGATCAACACGAAGTCAACAAAACGATTGCCGGTAGTTTGATATGATGATTGTTATACTTTGAGTTTAAGTTCAGTGATAGCTGTATTACTAGGCTGAACAAAGCTTGCATGTTCTTTAAGGTATAAAACGTAGTGTCACTTTGAGGCTCGCCTTGTTTCCCCGCAAGCTCTAAAATATACGTACAGTTTTGTGAGAACTTATTGCCGCCACTAATTACAACGTCGCCAGCTGCGTACCTGAGGGTCGTCGGGCTCTGCTGCTGCTAACAGTGCCTGTAGTGACAAAAGTACTGTCCGTAACGTCATGGCTGCAGCCCACTGATCCTTCAGGATATCGAGACAGATCACCCCTGAATAGAGAAAAATAAGGAGCAGAATTTATGCTTTCTCCGATATAGGACGATCAGTTTTGTTATTTGAATAAGGTATGACGTACAATGAATCGAGCTATAAAATCATTTTAGTACCTGTTTGTGAGCTGATATTCGGATGCCAAAGTCTTGTTGTGAATTTAACGATGGGAGGGTTAAACGGATACGTTTCAGGAATTGTAATGTGAAGGTCGAACTGGCCACCCTCGTAAGGCGTATCGGGCGGTCCCATAATGTAGCCGGTAAGCTCCCGAAAGTCGTCCCCCTTAAGTTCCAACTTGATGCGCGCTGCATTTTGCTATAACATCGTTTAGTATATAGATCAAAATATACAGGTTATGAGATTTGTATAGGATTGTTGAGTATGCCATGCTGATTGCTTCTCAACTTTAGTTACATCTTCAGAATACGAAGTAATTTAGTTGTTCAAGACTACGAAACTTGGTTTTGCGATTTTGTGACGCTACAGTAAAAGCATATCTACACTAAAACTCCGTAAGTAACATCTGCCTGAATTAAGTTTCGAACCTGTAATATTTCTCTCTTAATTTATTATTTTCTTTAACTTTATTTTCTTTCGATAAAATTTCTTTAACGAATCTCTTAATTTTTAGCTATGATGTTTAGTGTGTACGTTTACTCACTGGTGCAAACCGTATCAGAACTTTTGTGAACGAGCTAATTAATTATCTTCTTAGAGATTAAGATGATACAATATTACCTGTGTAGATCTCATATCATATTTGTACCGTTATGCGATACGTCCATTGACTACACTCTTTATACGGTCCTAAGAGTTAGTCTAATTACGTCACAAGGTAATTCAAGAGGCTTCGCTATACAAAATAGCATCACAATTCCAATATTTTGCGACGCCTAGTTACCGTTTTAAAACTGTCAGTAATAATTTGATTACATTGAATATTACATTAATAACCTACTTTAGCCGTATTTAAGGCTGTTAGAGGGTTGTAAAACGGAGGATAATGTTTAAAGCATACACCAGTGACTAGTGACCTCAACTGGATGGATACTTCTTCAGTCCGATGCGTCGAACACAAACCACATTTACTCAGGTGCTCGTGAAAAAAAAATGCCGGAACAAACAACTAGTAACCTTTAGGTTTCGAGCTTTTCAATCGGTATCGCTGTTAGATATTCCATCAAACACTATAAAACAACCAGTATAAAAGTGTAATTTATTTTGACACTTATGTGTATTTCACGTTTTTTTTTATTTTATGTTAATCTCGACTTAGATGTTTTAGACCAGGGACAGGATACTGAATTTCAGTGAGTCACTGCCCGCTTTAAAGAAAACTGCACTAGTTGGTTAAAATTGATTGTATAAACATAAGTCACTGGAAACCCCGGCATTAATATAGCGTACGAGGAATCATTTGATCGTAACTCACAGCAAATAAAGTTTTCGTTTTATTGTAGCGTAATGGTTTACCGAGAAACGGTGTGTATTTCAAATGACATTAACGTGCCAGCATCAAAGTTCAACAAGTTTACTGTACTAAACGTTTCGATTGTTGATAAAAAATTTACTGAAGTGCGCATGGAAGAACGCGCCGCCAGTTGTTGGAGAAGTGCAAACAAACGTGCCGTAAACTCTAGTAACGTTTGAAGCCGCACCAGTGACCGTTGCCGATTAACTATCTAAAAGGCTAAAGAGGTGAATCGAGTGGTTTGGTTATTGCGGTATTGCACTCTTCCGTTGACTACATGAAATCATCTGAGTGACCCCATTAAGCGGTAGTGAAATCTACCCATCAGTCTGCCAATGAAAAATTCGTTCTGGCGATTGCGGTTTCCGAACTCAACAGTCACAGACCATAATGGCCGCAGCAGCGGGAAGGCAGTTCATTAGTTGAGGTCGTAAAAATAAAAAAGATGACAAATAATAGCAAGACGGCTGAAACTATTAGAAGCACATTTGTGACGATTGTAATTAACAACGTTTTACCCGTAATTATTGTAACATTGTACAATATTTCAGCATTTGAGCCTGTCATCGTGTGATGATGATATGACCTATTACAACTATCGCATACCTCTTCGGACTTTATCACTTCCTTGAACTCTCTCCGGATACGCTGCATTGCTATGTTCGCCATTTCGGTCTGTCGCCGTTTTCTCTCGGCAGGTTGAGAGGCTAGAGCAAAAACGGGGGTTCGTCTCCGCTGTATCGGATCAGTCAGAGCAGATCCTGTCTATAGTTCATTTATCTGCTAATGCTAACACAGAAAAAGAGATATTCTACAATTTAATTGTGGCGTATTCTTCCTAGCCAGGTGTCCGTTTGCCCGTTTCACTAGCAAAAGTTCTTGTTGATAAATGGGTCTTTAACAAACAAAAGTGATGATGGTAGCCCCGCCAGTGGCCCGCGTGTACTGGTTACGCTGTCGGGGCTGCTGCTGCTGCCACTGGAAAATATTCAGTCTCTTTTAGCACAGCCCACGACAGAACGAATGTGTCCAGAAAATATATCGGGAGAGACCTTGTCCATTCATTCGGCTAACATTCAGACGACGTGATACAGGGCAGTTCACTGCGTTTTGGACACCCAGTGAATAGCACAGCACATCCAATGTGAGTAACGGCTCGCAGAGGGGATCAGATGAGAAGTTCAGAATAGTGGAGGCAGTGGCGGCAGCAACATTACCAGCAGTGGTTACCGCAGCAGGAGCAGCAGTCTTTAGACCAACAACATTGATGAACGCATTCGGATTTGGGTAATATCGCTCCGGGCGCTTGGGCAACGTCGTATCATCGTCATTCAATCGAAAAATGCTATATCGAAATGACATATTAAGGAGAGAGAAAGAGTGAGACAACGAAAGGTGATAGCTACTCAGTCAGATGAATAGTGGACAGCGTTTCAAGATGTGAACAGCTCTAATAGAACGAAAACAGAGACACAAAAAACCAGAATGCGACGCCTCCACGGTAATCGGTCGTACCCTCATTCTACCTACGCCACATATAATCATGACCAATAACAGGTAATGGCCAATTTCAAGTCATTTCAATGATCGATGGTAAAGATAAAGATTACTCGCTTATTACTGTACACTGATTGACATGCGCTGCATGAAATGTGAATTAATCAAGGACAAAGATGACCATGCATGCATGAAAAACGCGATACGCAACATGAACTGGTTCAGGGTGGTATTATTTTAGTTATAAGAATACCAAGTAGACAAGCTATGTGTGTCAGCTTAAATTATACATATTTGTCTACTGAGGACTGTAGAATTAACCTAGGCACATTACTTTAGTTGGCACCACTGACTAGTACTTTGATTGATGTATGTAATTAATAAAGGAAGCACACTCTTAACAATTGTAAAACATCACATCGATAGTTACGGAATATACAAACAGATTGTACGTTTAATTTACTAGATAAACGTAGCTTCTAATATCAGTTTTTTATACCAAGTACCCATATAAATTTTTGCTAAATAAAAATATCCCAAAAGTAATTTCATTTGGATTATTTAATAGTGACATTGAAATTTAAACCTGCAACACGACGACGAAGCTCGATGCTTAAGGTTTTCTGGTGCTACAGCGGTATGCATAGGAGCTTTGGGTTTTCTACAGCATGTAATCATCTGGTATGCCCTGCTAGGTTCACCTTAGGCTTTCCTAATATTAATATCATAAAATGGGTGGAGTCTCTTTAATGATAAATACGTAAAAATTAGTAGCAGTTATTTTTTATACTGTTGCTGACTTGTTTAAATAAGTGCCGGGCAACCTACCACTACTCAAATTAAATCATATTCGCATGCAACTCCGAAAGCTGCTAATTCGGACACCGCGATGGGACATGTCCTCGCACTGAGCCCTAAATTAATGGGCTTGATGTTAATAAATCAAAAAAAAAAAGTAAAGTATAGATTGTCGTACACGATAAACTTTACTTTTGCCGAAGATACAGGGGTGCTGTGCGGTCCCTTAATGAAAAAAATGTAATGCAGATTATGTTCTATGGAGATCGATGCAAATGTATTCCCCGCTTAGCAGTTTATTCTAGGGCTTAAGTCTTTTTATGTTGCAACGTTGCAAACCAATTATTATTACATGGATAAAGGAAGCAATGCAAGTATGTTTATAAAAACTGCTTTATTACGTGAAATGCAGGCGTACTTTTTAATCAAGATATCCTGCCCTAGTGACTCTATTCTGATTTAAACTAGTAGAAAATATATATGCCTCGTTAAAACAATCGAGATTTAAAATAAGTGTAAAATCATATCATAATTCTACGAGTTTCTCTATTTGGTTAGTCTGCACTTTTAGGTCTTAAAGGTTCGTTGTGACCTACAAAAAGTAGACAGATGGGCACCGTCTGGATTGATTAAAAGTAGTGGACGTTATTTGTGTAAGTTCGTTTTTTTGCTAGATACCAGTCTAAATCAGGCTTATAAAATTATAACTTTAATTATATAATTGAATCCAATGTAAATAATTGTTGGGTAGGTTTAGTGTTTGTATGTGTAATGTAATAGTAGAAACAGTGAGATGCTTTGCTTTCCCAACGTAGATAGCACTGCTATATCTCTTTCGGTGTTTTCCAGCATACCCAGACACGGCGCACGACAATCTAGACCTACATCGTGTCTATAACATGTACGGTGAACATATTAAAAAAAAACTGGGTCGAAAAACACCGAGGACACTTTTTTTATTTGACCCATCGTATAAGGTAGACAATTTTATTCATGGCCTTTAGTACGTGTTACCAGTAATTTGGCAACGCGTTGCCGACTAAGATAACCACCGTCTTTTCATGCAATGGATGTTTTAGTTTAAATGTTTTGCACATAGGATTTCAATGGCCAGTTCGAGTGTCTTACGGGAACGATAAGAATAGACTTGATATCAGGCCAACACATACGTCAACCTCTCAGGACGAGTGATATCGCTTGAGAAAGTCCTCATGAAGCTCGGAGTAATGTATTTTGTAATGTATGTGTAGTATTTGATCCCTGTTGTTTATAGCTACTGTTTTATAGATCGGCCGGCCTGCATCCTCGCCAAGGAGTGGCACATTTTGTAGTAACAGTAATTGTTGTCTATCCGCTCACCATAAAACCAAACCAGTTTAGTAGAGCAAATAATATTTAAAAGATGGCTTCCAGTGGTTTCAAAAAGACAGTACGATTTTCTAGACTTCTTTATTAATTAATTCATTTTTTTTTAAATTAATTAATCCATTATTATTAATTTGAGAAATAATAAAATGTAACTTTTCCATAATGAGCTTAAATCCCTTAAAATGTTAAGTCCGTTGGGAAGCAATTTCGATAACCTTTAGCTTTTGCAGCTTAAACTTTGTATTAGCTCATTTGTTTCAAACATTAAACATGGTACGCTGTTTCGCTGTCACTCTATATTGATCTGCGTTTTCTACTCTATCTAGTTTTTATCAGAGTTCATTCAACGTTCGTTCAAATTTCCTGAGATCTAATTATCTAATCAAAAGACTCCATAACAAATATCGCTTTGTTCAATTTTTCTTAGCTGAAAAATAGACAATTTAGTCACTACGAAGCGTTGAAACGCTAATGTGCGGGAGCTCTAAAAGCCTTCGTCTAAATTGATTATAGCGTTTTGGAGCATATTGAATTTATAAGATCAAATCCGCGATTGGAGCTATGAATCAAAATATTGGACGCACAAAGAATTCTATGGACAGTCGCAAAAAGCGGACGACCATGCAGGACACACTCGAAAATGAGTCCCACACATTTTAACAGGTTTCTACATAGACAGAAGCAAGTGCTTCAGTGTCACGGATCGCTTAAATTACGCACAGAGGAATATGTCAAGGGCAAAAAAATGAATGAGATTGGCAAACGTATTGTTAGCGACCGCTTCATTATATGCGTATCGTTTGCAAAAATCATTTCTGCATGAGACTGTTGTTAACATGATAGGGATTTCTTTACAACATCTTTTACCTCGAAAAGAAACGTACATTTAAGAAGGTACTTTCGTAGAGACTTCGAAAACACACAATGGAATGATGAATACGGTTTGCGGCTCAATTCGTCAGATTGAGTAAAAAGAGAGATAATACAGAATGCCATTGTTTTAACAAAGCGGTCTGCTGCTAAACACACGAATATATTATGTTTTTTTTTTTGTGTTGTATAATACGGTCTTCTAATTTTACCATACAATCATGGTAGTAATCAAAAAGGGGTGATTTGTCACGTGTGTAAAATCTGTTATTACATCCAGCAAAGTCAAGAGTCTATAGTAATTAGGCTCAAAACAACTCGATATTTCGTACGCTGGGCTGGGATACTTAAGCTTTATTGTAGATTGATACGCTTTCAAGAGGCAAACACAAGGGCTTTGTCGAATTAGGACAGGCTTCAACTGAAGGCAGTTTTTCCTATAATAATATAATTTGGTGATATAATATATTATTCTACGATAACTTCCTCACCAGTCATCACAATAATTTCTGGGTCTATCATTAGCGTCGTGTACGCACCTAGAAACTGCAGTTAGTGCAACGTTATCAGACATCAATCATATTGTCAGAGATACTGCATGCACATGCCAGCCGGGAGCAACAACAGCTAACTTGGCAAAGATCATTTATGTTGCCTCATCTTTAGCCATGTCTTCAAGATAACATGCCAAGCCGTAGGTAATCCATATAACCTATATAATCCTCGGCAATACGCATATAGGAGGAAGAATCTTAGATATTTATCCCTTTACCAGACACTCTTGTCGCTCATTACCCGACGTTATCCTCATGGATTTTAGCTTGTTAATCTTCCCTTCAGCGATTTATTTTTACTCAGGATACTTTCTGGTTTAGTTATAGGCTAGTCGTTTGCAAGTGAGCTTGCCCTGGGGCTGCCGCTTCACTTTGGGCATTTCTTCATCCGGCCGCTGCGGCAATCAGGCATTACATACTTGCAGTTTTCTTTCTTTCTTCCTTTTTGCCCTTCCGTGCAAAAGGGTACGTCGCATGAGGGTAGGCCAGCGACTATCCAGTTGGCCAGTAAGCGTCACAGGCTAGTTAAAGCTATGCGGCTGGCTGATATGACGACGGAATCGCCGGGGATCGGGTAGTCAGGCGATAGTAGCAACGGTCGGTGGCAAGGCGGTCGTTGCTACGCATAGCAAATCAATCAGGCTAAATTACATCTGAGGAGTGAGAACCCCCAGGTGGCCGCCTATCGAGAGGACACATGGCTTGAGGTAGGGGGTGCACACCAAGCCGTACAGATGAAGGGGTCGATCCGACTAAAAGTAAGTTGGCTGTTCGTTCAAGGAAAACGTTATGGTCTTGGAGCAAGGTGGTGTTAGAGCTAGTGGGCGCCGGTGGGGAATTAGCTGATACTAGTGGCCCTGTCGTTGCTACTATATGTGGGCAAAAGGTATTCTGGAGGCTGGGGATATTCGGATATCTTCAGTCAGGGATGGCTAATAAGAGCAGTATGAGAGAGAGTTGCCAGCACAACTATGAGACGTACCGTGCGTAACGGATAGATATTCCGTCGAGGAACTAAGCTACGGGATACTTAGGTGAGCAGAAGGGGATGTGAAAGTAAAAGAAGCATACTTGGATGCTGTTATGCTTCATTTCGTTCTTATATGATTTGCTTGCTTCGTCATAAGCGAATTTTCTTTCTGACGAATTGAATCTAAAGTGTTATCAGTAATCGAACCTGATTGGGGACTGAAACCGTCTTCTTTCCACTG